TTTTTGCTACTGTAAAATTTGGCTTAGATCCAGATTACTAGAACGAAGTTGTTTTCTTTCGCCGTTTGATTTTTTTGCTTCGTTCGATTTGATTCTTTGGTTCTTAAGTTGAACTTTCTGGTTAGATCTTCTATTTGAGTTTTACCTGTGCATTAGATGAGTACTTATTGTATGCTTGTTTGTTTGTCTGCGATAGAATACCGGAATGCGCCGCCTGTTACGTTGAATCTCTAGGTTTCGCGGATCATCAGCAAGACAAGTAACACTTTGATCATACCTTTTCTACAACCCAGTTTTATTGCATTAGATCAATCCTCACACATTGCATGATTAGGATCTAATTAAATTGTCGGATGGGAAGTAGATGAGGTAGTACCTATTACCTGTTTATTATCAAATCTTTGAGAGTTACTTCTATGTTTGCTTATTATGCATGCTATGCTAGTAGATGTGGATTGGGTGAGTGATATCCATGACAGATGTGAGATTGTTAATTAATGGTTTATCTAAGGTGGCAACCTAAACACACATCTGGGTGGATTGAGGCACCTGGGTATTCCAGGACTTGCCTGTTTTTCTTTTGGACCGCCACCCAGGCTCAAAGGGATCATGAGATTATTCATACTAGAAACTTCCGTGTGCAGCCACAAGCCATTATGGGCTATGGCATAGTTTATTAAGTTGTGCGAACTCTTACAGTGGTAGACTAGCAGATGTAGGGGATGTAGGTGGTACGGTCTACCCAATCGTAAGGTGCTAGCGCTTCTGAAAGACTATGTCTCGGTCATCCGTCTTCTCAAACACCATGTTGAAGCCCGGAGCTGGCGCTAGCCCCTGCTCCGGTTGCTCCGCCTCATCCTCCTCCGGATCCGCCACCTCCATCGGAGCCGGTTGATCTTGCTCTCCCTCCTCCTCCTCCGCCTGCTCCTCCTCCTCCATCTCCGGCGAGTCGGGAGGCAGCCCGAGAAGGATGTGGGCGGCGCGCGTGGCGCCTCGCCTAGGTCACCTGCTCGATCTGGTACCGGTGCTATGATGTGAGCATAGCGTACATGGTTATCTTTTGTTGGACCATGAAGAAGCCGAAGGAAGAGCGGCAGAGCGGGAGAGAGGAGATGGATGGGCTTGGTCCGGCGGCGTGGAGATGGGGAAGGTGGATGGGCTAGGGTTGGGGGACGTCAGCCAGCTTAAATAGCCGAATTTGGCCTCGGGCGGCGAGCCGGACCGGCGCCACATGGCGTTCACACCCCCCACCGGAGAAGACGTCTGTTGGACCACCGAGTTTTCGGGCGATTCCGCGGGAGCCCCATCGTCAGTCCGACGTGCCCAAACGCTCCCATATCCGTCCCATATTTCAGACGATGATTAAGGAGTTTTTAGGTCGTGGTTCTATACTCAGTGATGCCGTTGGAGTTGATGGACTCACCTATCTTCCAAGCCTTCCGCTGTTATCGTTATTAGATGGCCTTAAGCCATATTTATTGTAATAAGTTCTCTTTTGAGACACCCGATGTAATAAGTGTGTGATTGCTACTCTGCTATAAATCCTTCGAGTACTGTGTGGTGTCAGCATTACTGATCCAGGGATGACACCGGAGCATAGAGATCAGACTGTTTGAGGTCTGGTCGCTACAAACACCCACTTGCCCGATCCATTTTCATGATAAATTCAGAAAAAACAAATTTGTCTAGAAACTACCAGCAGTAGCAAACTGTCACCGCGTGTGACAAAAATACTTGTGTTAGATTTGGTCAAAGTTAACATAATTAATCCGGCATCCGCAAGAAAAGATCCCAAGCTTTCCTCTTCCACCCATTGGCACCGCCGCCGGTCCGCCCCATCTCCAATGGCCTTTGAGCCATGGAGGTGCGGATGACCTCGGCCCCACACCGGTGGGAGGGACCCCATTCTCGTTCTCGTGAGGCTCAGTGTCTTGGTTGGGGCTGTGTGACAGCGGCGATGTCCCTCAGTAGGAATAATGTGTCTCACGTTCTATCCCCATCCTGGTGGTGTGTCTTGCATCGTCGAAAGGCGTGTGAAGGTGTGTCTCCATCAGATCTTGCAGGATTCGGTCGGTGCTGGCCTTTGGTGGACCAGCTTGGATCCGTTCTTCGTTGGTTTTAGTTTGGATGTTTACATATTTGATCCTTCCGATCTATGACTTTTTTCATCAATCATGGTTGCTGCTCTAGTGTGCTGGTCCTATGGGGCCTTAGCACGATGACTTCCCGACTGTCTACTACAATAAGGTTTGTCTGGCTCCAGCGAGGGAGGGGCGATGACGGTGGCACGCCTTCGGCTCGCTCCAGTGCTTAAACTCGTCGCTAGGTGGTCCACGGACCTAGTTGTAATTTTTATTACCTCTGGTATTTTTTGTACTGCCATGACTGGAGGTGAATAAATTGGAAGTTTCTGACGGGAACAAAGGGGTTTGGTCAAAGTTTGAAAACCTTTCCACTTCAAAATAAGAGAGTAAAAAATTGTGAAGCTAGTTTGGCATATGATGATTTGTTAGTTGGAAATTAGAAGGGCGGGGCCCGCAGTTAAAATCAGGGGGCGGAGGGATTATTGGAAGGTTTATGTAACAGGCCCGTAAGAGCAACTCCAACAACCGCGCTATATAAGCGCCGTGCTAAAAAATCAGTGTTTTTTTGCGCGTGCTACCGTTGCGGTTGCTCCAGCGGAGGCGCAAAAAGCGCACACGTGGCATATCTAGTTCAGCGCGCGGGCTAAAACGCCATCGCGCGCCGCTTATTTGCTACGCCCGCTCCCGCGCGCTAGTCTCTCGAGCGCTCACTCGCAACTCCACCTACACCATCCAGCCGCTGCGCCGCCGCCACCCGCGCCACCCCATTTATTCCAGAGAACGTTCTAGCGCTTCCTTGGCCTATCCCCGCGCCGCGGCGGCTTCCTCCGTCTCCCTCTAGTCACCGCCGCCCGTCACGCGCGGCAGTACTCCGACGAACAACACCCGGCCGCTCACTGCCGATCGACGCCCGCAAGGTATGGATTGCTCAAACTTCACAGTTTTTACATGAATTTGATGCATGTTGATTGTAGTTTTTATAGCCTAGTTTATATTAAACATTGTAGATGAGTTCATCGTATGATTCTTCCGAAGAAGAATTTGATATGGAAGAGGAGGATCTTGCAATGATCCTAGCTATGCACATCAATAAAAAACCAAAGCACGGTGGTTCAGTTTTGTGTCAGCAGAAAATTTGGAGGGATAGGATCGATGCCCATAACAGATTGATGAGGCACTATTTTGTGAAGAATCCCACATACTTGGAGTCGTACTTTCGTCGCCGGTTTAGGATGAGCACCGAGTTGTGCGGGCGCATTGCAAAGAAACTAGCAAGTCATGAACGATTTTTTCAGCAAAGGGGGAATGCCGCCGGAGAGCTCGGGCATAGCACCTTTCAGAAGGTGACAACCGCTTTGCGTATGTTGGCATACAGTATCCCGGCTGATCTAGTTGATGATCACTTGGCCATGGGTGAGAGCCAAGCCATTATGTGTGTTAAGTGCTTCGCAGTCGGAATTGTGCAAGTGTTTGGCCATGAGTATTTGAGATCTCCTAATGCTGAAGACGCCGCAAGGCTATTGAGATGAACAAAGCTTGTGGCTTCCCAAGTATGCTTGGCTCAATAGATTGCATGCATTGAAGTTGGAAGAATTGTCCAAAGGCATGGCATGGGCAATTCCGCGGTCAAAAAAAGGGTTCCACTATAATCTTTGAAGCGGTGGCCGATCAAGAGACTTGGATTTGGTATGCTTTTTTTGGAATGCATGGATCTTTGAATGGCATCAACGTTGTCAACCGGTCACCACTAATGAATAAGATTGCAAATGATGAACTGCCACCGATGCAGTTTGTAGCAAATGATCGTACATACAACTATGGCTACTATCTTGCGGATGGCATCTACCCAAAGTGGCAAACATTTGTGAAGCCGTTGAAAAAACCGGAAGGTAAGAAAAATCTTGATTTCCACAGTGCTCAGGCGGCGGCTAGAAAAAATGTGGAGAGAGCTTTTGGGATTTTGCATGTCCAAATTGCTATTGTGAGAGGACCGGCTAGATTTTGGGATCAAAAGATGCTTTGCTACATTCTGCATGCTTGTGTGATCATGCACAACATGATCATCGACAATGAGTGTGCAAGATGTAGACTACTCTCAGTATGAGCTCTTGGGACACCCCGTGCGAATGCGACGGAGGGCTGAAAGGGTGGCCCGTTTTGTTGCCTCCTATCATGCCATTCGACGTCCCGCAGCGCATGATGATCTTCAGAAGGATCTCATTAAGGAGTGGTGGACTTGGAATGACTGACAAAGAGCATCATGGTTTGTGCGTTTGATGTTGTATTGTTGAACTATTTGTTGTATTGAACGATAAACTATTTGTTTGAGTTGTAATAACGAAATTAAACTATTTATTGTTGATTTATTTTGTTTGTTTTTGATCTTTTTGCTTGTGTATGGAGCGCATATGTTGTTTGCGTGAGAGCCGCGCGCGCTGTATTTTTGTGCGCTGCTGGAGCTACGCGCGTGCACTGCATTTTAACGTGGCTGTCCGCCGTGCCAAATCAGATGATAGACACGCGACAAAGTAATTTTTGGCGCGCCGCGCGTTGGACGGCTGTTGGAAATGCTCTAAGTGTACGTAGGTGTAGAATTATTGCCCCCCCCCCCCTTTATTGTGACATTGTGACAACAACGACGTTCGCAACTTCGCATGCCACCCCTGCAACAATTATCAATATCATACGAAGGAAAATTAACACAAATGAAACGGCCTTATTCTGACACGAACAATCCCCCCTACGACTGACTGACGACAACATCATCCCACAATCAACCCCTCCATTTTCCTCAACAAACTCTAACGATTCATACACGCACGCACCAAGCCGTGACGAGTTTACATACCCCTGGCATGGATGCACGCACGGAGCAACCAGCCAGTCGACCCAAGAATTTCATATGTTTGCTATACGTTACGTCGAGAGGGAGTGCGGGTGGTCGCTGGCGGCGCCGGCGCCGCCGCCGTCGCTGAGGTAGGACGAGGCGGTGCTGCTGTCGTCGGCGGGGTCGCGCTCGCGGACCTCCTCGATGCGCGCCAGCGCCTCCTTGATGTCCCAGCGCACGGCGACGTCGGTGTCGCAGCAGCCGAGCCCGACCTTGAGCAGCTTCACCATCTCGCCCTCGGCGCTGCGGGTGTCGCGCATGTCCTTGTCGAACACCTCGCCGGTCCACTCCTCCCGCACCACCGAGTGCACCCAGCCGGCCAGGTCCGTCGTGCCCTCCCGCCCCTTCCGGAGGTAGTTGGTCGGGAACCGGCCGGTCAGCAGCTCCAGCACCAGGATGCCCAGCGTCCACACGTCGCTCTTCTTGCTCGCCCGCCCCGCCGCCGTGCACTCGGGCGCCTTGTACGCCACCATCACCTGCGACGCGTGGCTCGGCGTCACCACGGGCACCAGCGCGTAGTCGCTCAGGATGGGCTCCAGGTCGGCGTTCAGGAGCACGTTGGAGGACTTGAGGTGCCCGTGCGGCACGGTGAGCATTGGCAGCTCCTCGTACAGGTACGCCAGCCCGCGCGCCACCCCCTTGATGATCTTCAGCCGCGCCGGCCAGTCCAGCCGCGGCAGGCTCGACGTCGCTCCTGCATTGCATTGCATGCACTCATCAGACGTCCATCACGTCTCACATCGATCGGCACTCCAGGACGCACATGAAACATGTATGATCAGTTATCATTACCGCCATGGAGGATTTGAGCCAGGCCGCCGTTGACCATGTGCTCCGTGACGAACAGCTTCTCGTCCTTCTTGTAGAGGTAGGCGACGACGGGGAGGAGGTTGGGGTGGACGAGACGGCCGAGGCGTCGCATGTGCTCGTTGAAGTCCGCCCGCCCGGCGCCGTTCATCTCCTTGAACCGCTTCACCACCATGGGCTTCCCGTCAACCAGGGTCGCCTTGTACGACGCGCCGAAGTTGCCGCTGCCGAGCACCTCCGCCGACGCCCGGAGCAGGTCCTCCAGCTCGAACCGCTCCCGGCCCTCCTGGAGGAACACCAGCCCGTCGCGCCGCCCTCCGCGCTTGGACGGCACCGGCGCCACCACGCCGCGCTGCTCCGAGTCAGCCTGCACACGCGCGCACGATCATGTAAGTGTCAGTGCTGCTTCAGTTCAAGAGTTTTAACCCGACCACGAAATGCCTGCTGCTCACCTGTGCGATCTTGATGGACTTGTCGGCGGTAGACTGCATCTTGGCAATGCCGCCTCCATCGCCGGGTGTCTCAGTGGCGTCGGCCGGCTCGTCGTTGTCCTTGCGGCGGGAGACGAGCGCCGTGATTATGCCGATGATGGCGAGGAGGCCGCCGAATGCCACCACCGCGATGGCGATGATCATGAGGACCCTCATGCTGTCTGATGAGTCTGACGAATCTGAAGCGCCGAGAAGCGCCGATGGAGGGCACGCAACGTCGAGCGGCGCGCCGCAGAGGTCCGTGTTGCCTGAGGATTCCAGGGGCAAGTAATTAGGATGAGACTTGAGAGGGTGCATACATCGTAGCAAGATTACAGATAAGCAATTTGGTGTGTTTCTTAGGTTTGTCCTAATGCAAATGTTGCACCAATGTCTACGGGTGTATCTAGGTCTCAGTCGACTCAGACTTAATCAAGTCTCACTCAAGTGATATAACATGTAACAGAGAAAAAAGAAAAAATTGAAAATAAAATTGCATGGATCTCAATGTAAGATCCTACGAATATAGCATTGACTGAGACTTGAATGTCCACACGTATAGAATAGTTTGGTCACATGGCCAAACACTTTTTTGATTATCTGGATAGCCTTATTCTCGGTGTTTCTTTACTCTTTTTAAATTATGTTACCTATATTGTGTTCTCTCATATTTCCTGAACAAGTTTTTCATCCTCATCTCTCCTATATATGACATCATTAGCACCGGTAGAACCATTATTATTCAAAGCAAATAAAGTTTTTTCAAATATCAAAATCAGCAACTGAATCCTGTAGCTAAATATATAGTATGTGATATGGATAATATATGTTATTAAATCTTGATTCAGTTGTGCAGACACCTTAACTCTAACGTTAACTACATTTAATATAAGTATGTTTATCTTTATTTTTTATGAACTGTATTTTCTTAACAATTTTGTTTCTCAACAAAAGAGAAATATGGATTTAACAAATTTATTTGATTTTCAAAGGTTCATATTGTTTTTAGTTGGATTTTTTTACTTGTTCGGGCTCGAGTGCTATCCTAGCAAATTTCCATGTGACGACGCTAAAAATATGTATGATTTATACTAAAATGTTACACTTTATAAACTTGTTTTACCATATTACAATTTAATATGTATGTGTTCTACTATTTAGTTGGCATAGCTAATCACATAACAATGTTGATAGCTATTAATTAAAATGTTTTTTAATAGTTGCAACACGTATTATAAAAAAATTGATCATCTTTGTGCTCAATTTAAACACTATTCTCTAACAACAATTACATCATTTTGTCATTTTGGACACACTGCGACTTAAGAAAACCATGACAAAAAGTTGCTAAAATGTTAAAAGGATTAAAAAAACACATCTCGTTGAATTGATATTTGGAATTTTCCGAATTATAGTGTATATGTATAGTGTCATGTGTTCTTATGTATATTTTAACATTCTTACATATCGTTGTAGAGATTGCTAAAGCATGTGTCTTAATAATGGGTTACGGTGGTTGATGCTAAGTAGGCAAATTTATAGAAATTTCTAGAGGATAAATTAAACAATTTTATGTTTTTTATATCCATTTTTCATGGTGAATTATGTCTTACAAGGAATAGTAGATTCAATAATAAGTTAACATTATTGCTGGTATTAAAACATCATGTCTTATCGTTATCACCAAGAAACACAAAAATGATGTTAATGTAAACTATTTGAATATTTGATATGTTCACCATAATGCGCTTGGTACCATCTGGTGTACGCCAAGTGTTCCTACTTGTTTCTGTCAAATAATAGGTCTTGCAAGAAATTAAACATTAACATCTAGTTAACATATATTTCAGTGTAATTTGTATGATGACCAGCCTAGCTAAACTCGTCAATGCTAATCAGATTGATTTGTACATATCTGATGCACCTTGTAGTTTGTGATGTGGCATCATCCCAATAGAATTAACAAAAAGTTTTATGGTGTTAACAATGCATGTTCCATGAAAGAATCTGTCAAGTAGAATAATCAAAACAAGATAAGAAAACATAAGTAGAATCATATTCACCAAATTCAAAGCTGCATACCTAGTAACAATCGTTACTCCAAACATCTTGGATATGATATTGAAGGAGTGGCCAACCAAGGTTTCCAAATGGATAGGATATGGTATTTATATATGTGAGATATATATCCTAGTACGTATGGATTCAAAAGCTTAAGAAAAGCATCACTCTATGATTGTAAAAGAACAATAGTCGATTCTATTCATATCTGCCTAATTCCTATTACTTTAGCGGGATTGCTCATGACTATGTAATTGCAATAGGCATAGGTATGAGTTGAATCATTGATTGGGTAATTTTAACTTTTTGCTTCACCTCCTCCAGATCACAAATGATATCAAATTAGATTTACGATTCATTTTTTATGTTGGCCAATAAATAATGAGCTACAAAACTATTCATTCTTTTTTTGTGTCACGACATATTACTCCTCGAGAGCACGTTGGATCCCTTTTAAGAGTGACATTGTATGTCCAATATATTGATCAAAAGATGAAGGCTAGAATGAAAATAATAATGTTAAAAGAGAAAATGGAGAACAATCGTCTAGCTACAGTAGGGGCGGATGCAACCAAGAAGGTAATTGGATGTTTTCGGGTGGTTCATACTAAGGATAAGAGCTAGGGCTTGTTGAGGGGTAGTCATGATTTTAGCTTTGCTGACAACAACTTGTAGGGACATTTATTGTGATATTCCTTTCATTGGGTGCGGGCCTTCTATTCCACAAAAACAAAAACGCAGTTTCATTCTTTCATATACTAGGTATTATTTACTTGGAAAAGACAATGTTCCATACTAAATAATATGGGTCCATAACCAAGATTTCCAATGCCTTAGATCTTGTAGCACTTATCAATGAGGCCCTATCGATTACTATTCCACAAAAGGAATCCATTTTCTTTCTGTACTACGAAATCCCCCTGCCCGGATTAAGGAAAATATAATATAATAGGATAAAACAAAATGGGTGACCAAAACAAAGATGATCAACCAAAAGGGATATACGTTGTAAGTTATATATATTGTAGGGAGAGCAATTCAATGTTAAATCATCTCCTTGCCAAGAAGAAGATACAGGTTCGGTTCACATCGCTTGCCTGCTTAATTTAGTAAATTATCACAACTTCCCTCTAGACTTAGCTACCCATTGAAGTCTCACCTATTATTGACATGTTTATTCTAGTACATATAAGGAACTGCTAAGAAAGAAAAGCTAAAAATACCACATATCTTGTTCTAGCAAGATATTGGGTAATTCTTTGTTTTTATTCCGAATCTTTCTATTTTGAACTCAGTTAATGGTGAAATTGACGATATTGATGCTTTTATCACATTACCTTTTATGATACACTTCATAGAGCATACCTTGTGGAATATTATATCTTAAATATTTCCTCTCCCATTATCCACATCCCTTTATTTTTACTTCACATCCTAGAATATCATTATTTCGTAGCTATCTAGCACAACAAACAATACCCCACCACAAGAAGTTTTGAGGGTAGTACAACTAATTTAGTAGATACATTCATCTTCTTAGGGCGTCTATAGTGGAATTAGTCAAATCTGGGTCTTCAAACACCCGTGGACGCGCCCAAGCGAGTCTGTGGGCAGTGACCGGCCAGTCCTCAAATTCCCTCACCTGCATCCCGACACCTCATACTAGAAATCTTAAATCCACACAAAAGCATGCAAAGAAAATAAATCGATGTACTACCGTAGATCAACTACCCTAGTCCTCATCGAAGATATCCACTGTCTCCATACCTGGCTACGGGTACATGTCTGGCAGACGCAGCTCCGGCTCGTCCGCGTCGGCCTCCGCATCCATCTCTACTTCGACCTCGTCAAAGAGTTTGTAGGTCGCCGCCCACTCCTGCCGGATGAACTGCCGGTTGGCCTTCACATAGGCCTTATCCTAGCGTCCAGGATGGCCTGCTGTTCCGCCATTTCGTCTGCTTGGGTGATGGCGAAGGCTGCCTCCGTGTCCTCCATGTTGAAGCCCGGAGCTGGCGCTAGCCCCTGCTCCGGTTGCTCCGCCTCATCCTCCTCCGGATCCGCCACCTCCATCGAAGCCGGTTGATCTTGCTCTCCCTCCTCCTCCTCCGCCTGCTCCTCCTCCTCCATCTCCGGCGAGTCGGGAGGCAGCCCGAGAAGGATGTGGGCGGCGCGCGTGGCGCCTCGCCTAGGTCACCTGCTCGATCTGGTACCGGTGCTATGATGTGAGCATAGCGTACATGGTTATCTTTTGTCGGACCATGAAGAAGCCGAAGGAAGAGCGGCAGAGCGGGAGAGAGGAGATGGATGGGCTTGGTCCGGCGGCGTGGAGATGGGGAAGGTGGATGGGCTAGGGTTGGGGGACGTCGGCCAGCTTAAATAGCCGAATTTGGCCTCGGGCGGCGAGCCGGACCGGCGCCACATGGCGTTCACACCCCCCACCGGAGAAGACGTCTGTTGGACCACCGAGTTTTCGGGCGATTCCGCGGGAGCCCCATCGTCAGTCCGACGTGCCCAAACGCTCCCATATCCGTCCCATATTTCGGCTGGATATAAGGGGTGACGGTCAGCCCGAGCGTTTGAGGCTCATTTGAGGTGCCGTTTAGATCGAATTTTCAGGACCGGTCAGTGACCAAGCCATCCGCCTGGACATTTGAGGTTGCTTTGCGGTGCCCTGACGTCTGAGACTGGTTTAGGGTTCCTCTTACTTCTGCTTGTTCTTGGTTTAGGAAAGGTTAGCGTTGTAGAGCTACGATATAGCCATGTGATTTCTTCTCCGTAAGTCACATCCTAGACACATCAGTGTTGAAGTATGTGACGACTGATGGCACTCCTAACAATTCAGCTTTAGAGCATTGTTAATAGTATAGCGGGCTGCTAGTTATATGCTATTGCCATATCATCTATTGTTAATCTTATAACCGAATAACAGTTAGCTATGAATATATACTACTATAATCCACCTTACACTCTCATAGAGTTTCTAGGAGCACATGTGTGCTGTTTGTTGTTCATCTGTAACCTGCTTCTCTTTTCCCTTCTATTCTCTTTCCTCCACCTCAGCAAAAATATATAAATTCTAGCCCACTTACATCACTCTATTATATTTGCTCTTATATTTTCTTAACATGTTTAATAATAAAACTTTAAACATTAGTAGTATATTGAATTTATTCACAGAAAAAGATAGTATATTGAAAAAGAATTAGTAGAGTACTTGTGTCCCTTCTCCCAGGCACTGTTTGCTTAGCCAGCTAAGCAAGGCATATCCACGTTAATTTATATTAATTTTGAGGGGGTTCATTTTTTTCTTGACCTGGTTCTTTTTTTTTTGCGAGGATCTTGACCTGGTTCTTGCAGCGAAAGCTACTACCGGCTCTCTACTCCATCAATCTTTAGTTCCCTGGAATTAATAATAACTTGCTGAACTGAGCGCGGCAAATGCCAAAATGAAAAATTAAGTTTGGCTCCGTAACACCCAAACCATCCTATTACGACTACTAACTAATTTTAACGCTACCTCTACCTACAATTAACTGCACTCGAATGAAAATAATTTAAGATTCACACAAAACAATTCCAAGCACAATCGAACGAAAGCCACATGCAGCAAGCTAAGGCCTTGTACAATGGGAGGTGCTTAGAGAGGTGCTTAGAAAAATAAATCGAGTTTTTCAAGCACTGGTGTCTATTTTTATAGAAGAGACGCTTAGTTAAGCGTCTACCCTGTACAAATAAGCACCGGTGCTTAAGGAAAGCCTGGTTTATTTTTTTATAAGCACTTCTCCTAAGCACCTCCCATTGTACATGGCCTAAGTAAACGTACGTGCACGTCGTTGTGCAATGAACGAAGGAACGAACTCACCTTCGAACGAGGCGGCCTTGAACCGCCGGAGGCCTTGCGGGATGGGGCCGGAGAGTCGGTTGTGGGAGACGTCGAAGAGCTGGAGGTCCTTCTGGTCGAAGTCCGGGATGTTGCCCTGGAAGCGGTTCCTGGCGAGCTGCACCACGAGCAGCTTGGGCGAGGTGATGGTGTCCGGGATGGCGCCCGTGAAGGCGTTGTCGGCGAGGAAGAGCTTCCTGAGCCCCATCATGGCTTCGAAGGTGTCGCCGGGGATTTCGCCGCTGAGGCGGTTCCGGGAGAGGTAGAGCATCTTGAGCGCCGGGAGCTCGGTGAGCCCGGGCGGGAACGGGCCGGTGAGGTTGTTGTTGGCGAAGCTGAGCACGCGGAGGGACGTGAGGGCCGCGAGCGGGGCCATGTCGGGGGCGTTGCCCTGGAGGCCGAGGTACTCCAGGCGGATGCCGAGCACCTTGTTGGAGGAGCACTTTACCGCGTACCAGATCGGGTCCTGGCACGGGCCGGTGCTGGCGGAGGAGACCCACTGGTCGAGCGGCGCCGGGGGGCGGTCGCCGGATGGCCCGCGCAGGGTCGCCCGGAGCGCCAGCAGCACGTCGCCCTCGGACGCCGCCGCCGCCGCCGCGACGAGGGCGGCCAGGGCCAGGAGGAGGAGCAGCCCGGCCGCGCCGGCGCCGTCGCCGGCCATGGCGAGCGCGGCGCGCGCGGGTGGCGGAGGATTAATTAATGGGAGGCGTGCGCGCGCGCCGGCGGCTAAAGAAAGGCGGGAGCCTGGAGGTGGTGGGGAGGAGGAGGGACGACGCGACGACGGAGGTGGCGGGGAGAGCTAAGAATAGGCGTGGCGGGCGGCCGGGCGGTGCGTGCCGGGCGCATGCGGAGTGGCCGCGGCTTAGGTTCCGAGGCCGGGGCACAGCCTGGCCTGGCGCGCGCGTGTGAACTCTCTGACATAGGCCCCAACGTCTCCCTTGTTCGTCGTCTTCGTTGGTTCGTCTCGTCATTGTCTGTAAACTACTCCTGCATTCCGGCGAGACGGGTGAACATGCTCGCACGTAACGTGCGTACGGGATGACATGTTTGGCACTGTAATTTCGTAACAAGATGAACATGAGACGCGGCGACAACGAGACCTGATGATCCGATGCAGCCAGCTGCTACTGGCAAGTCCAGGTAGTGGTAGCAGTGTAGCGCCCACGATATTGGCGATGTGAGTATGTTGACCCGTGAGTATATGTATTCCAACAAAGTGTAGCACGACAGGAACGAGGGAGATCTGCAGATGTCGCTGTGGGGATATTCCTCGTGCTAATTAATTAACCCAACTGATGTGATCCCTAAAAGCCGTCCAAACTTGGCACCTTGTTGTGCTACTGCTCTCTCCGTTCTAAAATAAGTTTTATGTTCGTTTAAGTTTCCCTCACAAAAAAGAAAAAAAAACTTCTTTAAGTTTGATCATGTATACAGAAAAACTTACTAACATCTTCAAAATTAAATTTATACAACATGAAAAATATGTTTTACAATGAATCTAGTGAAACCAATTTGGTGTTGTAGATATTGATATATTTTGCAATAAATTTGATCAAACTTAAAGATGCTTGACTTAGGACAAACTTAGCATTTCAAGTATTTTTGAAAGGGGGATATATACTAAAGAAATAGAGTAACATTATAATGTTTATGTGTAATACAAATGATTGTTTTTCCAACTGATCGATAAATCTTCAATAAGAAAGGCACAAATCATTTGGACTTCACGAAAGTTGGCCCCATGATTTTAATGATGGGTACTAAAAATTATGTTAATAAAGGAAAATATGAGAAAACTATATACAAAAGCTAACTACTATTCCTCCGATCCATATAAATTGTCTCAGCCGGGATTAGTAGCTATATAACAAAAGGAACAACATTAAGAAAATAGATTTATTATTTCACATCTAGATATAAAATAGTTACCTCACATCTAACTCTATCACCATAGGATGGAAGGCCTTTAAGATTCGTTCTTTTTTCTCAGCACAGCGCGTTGTTTTTTTCTCACGTTTTTTAGGGGTGTTCTTCCGCAGACTGCGCTTGCACTAGTTTGTTTCACGTATCGATCCATAGGTTTTTATTGAACGCTTTTTTGCACATCGTTTTGGGGTCTGTGGTCGATTTTGCACGTATGTGTAGCTGCATGCATGGGTTGTAGCTCGTGCAAACACACCCTGCATCACATTATTAGTTGCATTTTTTTCCTTATTTGTTATCTTACCGCAAGAGGTGAAAAATGAAAAAAATGGACAAGCCACACGTATTTTTTGTTTGTTTTTGTTCGTTAATTTTTTTTGGATCAAACATGTATGTATCGTGCAAAATTGTTTTGTTCACATGCATGTACCTTGGGTCGTGCTGGTGTTTGCGTTGTCGAGCCGGTTTTTCGTGTCGCACTGGTGGCCGTTTTTCTCATCATCTTCCATGTTTGCTTACGTGTGAGTATATGATCCTCTGTTTCACATATGTTGTGTCACATCGGGGTGAGATTTAGCAACATCTTATCTAAATTTTCAAATGTACAATCTTTTGTTGCTGAAATTTTCGGGCAGCGTTTTGATCCGCGTCACATTGTCGACCCATTTCGTGATTTATGTCTGTTGTTGGCCGGCTATGTGACGTCCCGCACATTGGGGGCGTTTTGCGGAACGCATTTGTTGTCGGGTTGTGTCAATTTTCACTTTGTGCGGGCAGCAGCTTTTCTCACTCTACGTTGTGGGTGCGGGTTCAATTTTTGTATAGAATAACATGACACTTTGCTCTCACTCTCTTTCTTCCGTTGAGCTAATGTTCAGTTTTTTTATTTTTGCTTTTTTTATTTTTCTATTTCTTCTTTTCTTTTTAGTATTGTGTAGTTGTCCGAGTTACAAATCCTCCCTTGACTCGCATTTAGGCCCATAAATTGTTTCATTCCAGTTGCAAACCCATCCTTGACTCGCAACTAGGCATGCAATTTGTGTTTCCCGATAAAAAGTCCACGTTTAACTCGCAATTAGGCTCGTAGTTTATAGTTGTCCCAAGTGCAAGTACCTTGGGTCGTGTTGGTGTTTGCGTTGTAGAGCCAGTTTTTCGTGTCGCACTGGTGGCCATTTTTCTCATTGTCTTTCATGTTTGCGTAAGTGTGAGTATATGATCCTCTGTTTCACATAGATTGTGACACATCGAGATGAGATTTAGCAATGACTTATCTAAATTTTCAAATGTACAATCTTTTGTTGCTGAAATTTCTATGCAGAGTTTTGATCCGTGTCACATTGTCGACCCGTTTCACGATTTCCTCCCATTGTTGGCCGGCTATGTGACGTAGCGCACTGGGGCGTTTCGCGCCTTGCATTTGTTGCCAGAATTGTGTCATTTTTCACTTCGTGTGGGCAGCAACTTTTCTCACTTTATGTTGTTGGTGCCGGCAGAATTGTGTCACTCATTGCTCTCACTCTCTTTCTTCCGCTTAGCTACTGTTTAGTTTTTTATTTTTCTATTTCCTCTTAGTTTTGTGTAGTTGTTCGAGTTACAAATTCACCCTTGACTCGCATTTAGGCCCATAATTATTTTCATTCTAGTTGCAAAACTCATTCTTGGCTCGCAACTAGGAATGCAATTTGCTTTTCATCCCGATCACAAGTCCATGCTCAACTCGCAACTGGGCTCATAGTTTGTAGTTGTCCCAGTTGCAAGTACTCCCTCCGTTTTTATTTAGTCCGCATATTAGCTTTGGTCAAAGTCAAGCTTTGTAAGTTTTGACTAAGTTTATAAACAAAAATATTAATATATACAATAAAAAATCAATATCACTAGATTCATTATTGAATGTACTTTCACATCATATAGATTTGTTATGGTAAATGTTTATATATTTTTCTATAAACTTGGTCAAACTTTGCAAAGTTTGACTTCGGTCAAACCTAATATGCAGACTAAATAAAAACAGAGGGAGTATGTCCTTGACTCGCACCTTGTATCATAGTTTTATGTACTTGTCCCAGTTGCAAGTCCATCCTCGTCTTGCATCTCATATCGTAGTCTTGCGTAGCTGTCCCAGTTGTAAGTACACCCTCGAATCGCAGCTGGGCCTGTAGTTTATTTCATCCCAGTTGCAAACCCACCCTTGACTCGCAACTCGGCATGTGTTTTGCTTTTATTCCGGTTGCAGCTCCACCCTTGACTCGCAACTGATCCCGTAGTTTGTTTTATCCTAGTTGCAACTCGACTCTTGACTCGTAAATGGGCTCATAGTCCGAAGTTACCCTTGTTGCAAGTCCATCATCCATTCCTAATTGGGCTCGTAGTTGTCCGAGTTGCAATTCTATCCACGGCTCACAACTGGAGCTTGGGTTTTAATTGTTTTTCAGCCTAGTTCCAAGTCCACCCTTATAGTTTGTTTCATCCCAGTTGCAAGTCAATACTTGACTCGCAACTAGACTCGTAGTTTCATATAGTTGTCTCGGTTGCAAGTCCACCCTCATGACTCACAACTCGTCTCGCAGTTTTTTGTAGTTGTCCAAGTTGCAAGTCGAGTCCGCCCTCGACTCACAACTCGTATCATACTTTTGTGTAGTTGTCCTAGTTGAAAGTACACCCTTGACTCGCAACAAGGCCCATAGTTTGTTTCATCCCACTTTCTAGTTCACCCTTGACTCACAACTTGGCAATGTTTAGTTTTTCATCCTGGTTGCGGGTCCACCCTTGACTCGCAACTGGGCTCGTAGTTTGTTTCATCCCAATTGCCAGTCGACCCTTTACTCACAACTAGGCTCATTGTTTCGTAGTTGTCTTAATTGCAAAGTCCATCCTCAACTGGCTACTGGAATCATGGTTAGTTGTTTTCCTAGTTGTAAGTCCATCATCAACTCGCAACTAGGCCCATAGTTTGTTGTTGTCCCAGTTCCAAGTCCACACTCGACTCGCAACTGGGATGTGTTTTGTTTTTCATTTCTTTTGCAAGTCCACCCTCAACTCACAACTCATATCATTGTTTCATATAGTTGTCTCAGTTACAAGTCGACCTTGACTCGCAACCAAGCCCCTAGTTTATTTTATCCTAGTTGCGAGCCCACCGTTCGCAACTGGGGCCAGTGTTTTGTCTTTCATCCCAGTTACAAGTCCACCATTGAATCACAACTGGAACTGTAATTTGTTTCATCCTAGTTGCAAGTTGACCCTTGACTCGCAACTAGGCTCATAGTTTCCTAGTTGTCTCGGTTGCAAGTCCACCTTTGACTCACAATTAGGCTAATAGTTCTCCTAGTTGCAAGCCCACCCTCAACTCGCAATTAGGCATGTGTTTTTGTTTTTCATCCTAGTTGCAAGTACACGCTTGAAACGCAACTGGGACCGTAGTTTGTTTCATCCCAGTTGCAAAGTGGACCCTTGATAAGTCAACACTTGACTCGCAACTGGCCTCATAGTTTGTAGCTGTCCCAGTTGTAAGTTCATCCTCAACTCGCAACTCACCTCGTAGTTCTCCTAGTTGCAAGCCCACCCTTTGACTCACAACTAGGCTTGTGCTTTGTTTTTCGACACGCAACTTGCCCCGACCCCTAGTTCCATGTCCAACCCCAACATGTAAACTCACTTGACCCAGTTGCATGTCCAAGCTAAACATGCAACTCATGCCCGACATAGTTGCATGTCCATTCTCGGCACGCAACTCGTCCC